TAGAATCATTAGTGAAGGATTATGAAGTTCAAATGAAACATGAGCAGTCATTCGAGGCACATTATAGCTTAATCATGTAGATTGTTGGAACTCAGAAATGAAATCATCAAGAATCATTTAATAACTTGATTAATCATTAATTAAAGAGTCAAGAAGCATGACAAATGATCACAAGTAGACAATATACTATCATAAACAGAACATAAGCATTCCCATACTAGTTCCACACATCAGAAACAACTATAATCCTCAGAAGATAACTAGTATATTCACAACGCTCAAGTAAGGTGAGCAAAAGAGAGAACTTAGGAATGTACTGACCTTTTTGAGGGCATCAAAACAAACGAGGTTCTTTCTTAGTTGCTTAAGACCCAAAAAGCTTCAATCTCAAAGCAGTGATAGTACTCAGAAATGAAAAAGAGAAAACAATAAGGAACCCTAGGTTTTTAATCTCAGAATTGCTCTTAGACTACTGTATCGATGTTTTTCAGTGTTAGGTTGTTCATGTGCTTGGTGAGGACATTAAAGGCCCCCTTCATAGTGCCATTTAAGGCTCTAGGGTTTCACGGATTCAAATCAGTAGTGAAAAGTGATGAAAGGTCAATGATGATAGCAAATCAAGTGAAAAATCTCAGATACAGAGGGGAATTAGTGATAGTTTTTTACCTGAGTGGAGAGCAGTTGACCACTGAAGGAAAACCCATCGCATAAAGCCCCAAAATGTTTGACCTCTGGGTACATAATATTCATGTTGAAGCTCTGAAACGTGCACATGCATGCTCCGATTTGGTAGAGCGAGTGGAAAAACCAGATAAAATGAAAGTTCATCAATTAGGTCTAGAGTTTAGAATTGGGGTTTTTGAATTCAAACAACGAGAATGGAAACTAGGCTCACTAGCTTCATCTCCTAGGGACAAAGGAGACGAATCTACAAGTTGATTTGAAAGAACGAAGGAATGGTGTTTTAACCTCACTGGCCATGTCTAATCTCTTAGATTTGGAGAGCAAAAAGGTGAAACTAGCGGGATTCGGGGGATGGAAGGACATGGAAGGATGATTTGGTGAGGGTATTGTGACCTTGCACCAATTCGTGTAAGTTTTCTCTGATTGATGGGTTTGAAGGGATGAGAGAAAATAAATAAAAAGGGGAAATGAAGACAGCTTGGTGTGGTGAGAATGATTAGGGTCTCTGGGGGGATAGGGCTGGTCTTTAGGATTAAAGACGAGAGATGAAACGAGAGCCGTTGGATCTATTGATCAACGACTCCGATTATTTGATAATTGGATTTCTTTAAAAATGATTTAAGTAGGAAAATCGGAGGCCGTTGGATTAAAGATTTTGGATGGTTGAGATTAGGTCTTTGGGGCGGGTATTTAGATCAAAAGAAAAAATCAGAGAATAAACGTGAGTCGTAGATTAGATGGATCAACGGCTCAAATGCGTTGTGTTTCTTGTGTGAGTGGTGATAGAGGGTGACATGGTGTGCCTTGATTGGTGCAAATAGGGTGGCTTGGATTGCCAATAGGGAAAGAGATGAGTGTTTGGACTAGGTGCGTTTTCGTTTGGGCTTGAGTAATTGGGCCGAGAATAATCTGAAGAATGGCCACTTTGCCTTTGGTTTGGGAATTGCAATTGTGGCCCTTTTGTCTTTTAACCCCTTTTGAATTTAATTTAGATAAACTTAACAATTTTTAATAAATATGGTAAAAAATTATAATTACTATATATACTACTAATTACTATAACTAACTATTTATAAAACGCTTTGTTTTCCTAAATGGCAATACTAATTTCGAATTTCACAGAATAATCTAATTAACTAGAAATTAAAGAGTAATTTATCAAATTAATTATAGAACCTATGCAATGTATATATAAGCATTATATTGATAATCTTAAAAATAGTAAATATATTTGTAATTACATAATTTTAATACTATGCGGTTAATTTTAGAAACTAATACTTAATTAATTTATAACATAAGATTTGTTACTAGAAAACACCTTTATAATATTTATTGTAAATTATTAAGTAAAAATAAATTAATTTAAAAAGGAAGGGTCAAAATTGGCCGTCAACATAAAGAAACACTACCAGTGAGGTGCTGGCCGCGACAATTGGGAAAATGGTGGAAACAAATATGATCACTTTCAGAAGAGACGAACTTCCTGTCGAAGGCGCAAGTCACAACAAAGCTCTTCATATCACTGTCAGATGTGGGGACAAAGTGGTGTCCCGAGTGCTAGTCGATGGAGGGCCAGGAGTCAATATTTGTCCGCTCTCTACCCTACGAGAGTTAGGAATCCATTTGAGGGAAGTCAAGGAAAGTCACATGAGGGTAAGTACCTTTGATGGTTCGCAAAAGGATGTTATTAGAGAAATTTATTAGGCCTTGCAGATCGGGTCTGTCGAATTTCCCATATTGTTTCAAGTAATGGATATCTCTACTTCCTACAACTTGCCCCTGGGAAGGCCCTAGATACACATGGAAGGGGCCGTCCCATCCACTTTACACCAATGCATGAAATTTGAGTAGGGATGTCAGGAGATAGCGGTCCACAGCGAGTGGAGTCACTCCGCTTATTTGGAGCATGCTGTTCCATTCATTGAAAGGCTAGACGGAGTAGCTTTCCATGTAGTGGAAATCATGCAGACTACTTAAATGGAAGAGACTGAACAAAACTTGGGAATGCAGTTGCCGTATAGATTCAAGATGGCTATGAGGGAGATGATGTAATATGGATACATGCCAGGAACAGGGCTGGGAGCCTGGTCGAACGGGATCACAGAGCCAATTGAACCTGAGGGGCAGAAAGAAAGGGCCGGCATAGGATAACAACCTCCGATGGGGAAAGTTCATACCGGTAGCTCGAGGAAAAAGGTTTTTGTGCAAGAGCATATTTCAAGTCCGGGAGGGAGTTCAGTACTAGAAGATGATATCATCGACATGATGGAAAAGCTGCCCGTGAATATGATCGAAGAATGCTGTGAAGGGACTAACATCAAGACACCGACTATCAAGGATGCCGAACCAGGGGAAGAGCTGCGGAATTGGACCGCCAGTCCATATTTGGTTCGCCGGGAGTCTTTGTAGTATGGAGCTGTAAAAGTTTTATTTTGAAAAGCGCACGGTCAATTGAGGCATGCACTGTGTCTTTACCCTTTTCTCATTTGCCTCTTTTGAACGCCTAAGACATTCCTCTTTTTATGAAATAAAAAGAATCATTTTCTCAAAATATTGCAATTTTATTTACCGCTTCATTTATACTTAGCTTTTCTTTTCAGTAATTAAAATGCTAAAAACCCGTGTTTCGCGATTGTGATATGTAATGAAACCATCAAGCACAACGACCAATATTACGAGGAGTATGACGAGAGTATGATGCCAGACAATCTCCCACAGGAGATCAAACAGTTGGAGAGTGAGAAAAAGCCCAACCTTGAAGAAACGGAAGTGGTCAACCATGGAAGTGAAGAAGATGTGAAAGAAATCAGAATCATCATTCATCTAGAAGCCGAGAAGAAGGAAAAACTAGTTGAGCTCCTCCGACAATACATCGATGAGTTCGCATGGTCATATGATGATATGCCGAGATTAAGCACTAACATTGTCTCGCATCGACTGCCCACCGATCCTACCAGACTGCCGGTCAAGTAGAAACCCAAAAAATTCAAACCTGATTTAAGTCTAAGGATAAAGGAAGAAGTGATCAAGTAGATAGAGGCGAATGTGGTAAGGGTCACCAATTAACCCAGCTAGGTTGCAAATATTGTCCCAGTACCCAAGAAAGACGGAAAGATCAGGATATGCGTAGATTATCGAGATCTCAACAAAGTTAGTCCAAAGGATTATTTCCCTCTGCCAAATATCCACATCCTCATCGACAACTGCGCAAAGCATGAAGTGCAGTCTTTTTTGGATTGTTTTGTTGGGTACCACCAAATATTGATGCACGAAGAAGATGCAAAGAAGACAGCCTTCACCATACCTTGGGGAGTCTACTGCTATAGAGTCATGCCGTTCGGTCTCAAGAATGCCGGTGTCACCTACATGAGGGCTATGATGACCCTTTTTCACGACATGATTCATAAGAAGATTGAAGTGTATGTGGATGATGTCATCATCAAGTCTCGAAAGAGTTCAGAGCACTTGGACGATTTGAGAAAATATTCCGAACGCCTGCGAAGGTACAGTTTAAAGTTGAACCCCGCAAAGTGCGTGTTCGGAGTCCCCGCTGGAAAACTGTTAGGCTTCATTGTAAGCAGGAAGGGGATAGAATCGGATCCATCAAAAATCAAGGCCATTCAGGAATTTCCACTTCCGAAGAGCAAGAAAGATATAATGCATTTCTTGAGTAGATTGAATTACATAAGTTGCTTCATAGCCCAGTCCACAGTAATCTGTGAACCCATTTTCAAGTTGCTGAAAAATGATGCTGCCACAAAATGGACAGAAGAGTGCCAGAAAGCTTTTGACAGAATCAAGGAGTATCTGTCAAATCCACAAGTGTTGGTTCCCCCCGAACCCGGAAAGCCATTATTACTATATTTGGCAGTCTTGGATAACGCCTTCGGTTGTGTGTTGGGATGACATGACGAAACTGGGATAAAGGAACAAGCCATCTACTACTTAAGTAAGAAGTTCACGCCATGCGAGGCCAAGTATACTCTGATAGAATGCACTTGTTGCGCTCTGACTTGGATTGCCCAGAAACTAAGGCATTATATGTCAGCATACACTACGCATCTGATATCTCGGCTCGACCTACTCAAGTACATCTTACAGAAGCCGATTCCTACCAAAAATCTAGCTAAATGGCAAATTTTCCTCAGCGAATTTGACATTGTGTACATAACTCAGAAAGCTATCAAGGGGCAAGCTTTAGCCGACCACCTCATAGAGAATTCGGTGGATGGGGATTATGAGCCACTCACTACGTATTTTCCCTTTAAAGAAGTATTATTTGTTGGAGAAGATATTGTAGAATCATACCCCGGATGGATAAGTTTATCGATGGAGCAGCAAACTTTAAAGGAGTCGAAATTGGGGCAATCCTAATTTTGGAATCTGGACGGCACTATCGAGCATCGACAAAGATAAGATTCCTTTGTACCAATAATATGGCTGAATATGAAGTGTGCATCCTTGGGATCAAAATGGCAGTCAACATGAACGTTAAAGTACTCTTGGTCATAGGGGATTTCGATCTATTGATATACCAAGTTCAAGGGGAATGGACCACCAAAAGTGTCAAGATCCTTCTGTACCTGCACTGCGTGAAGGAGCTATGCAAAAAGTTCACAAAGATTGAGTTCAAGCACGTCCCTAATATTCAGAACGAGTTTGCTGACGCCTTTGCAACTCTATTATCCATGATTAAGCATCTAGACAAGAACTATATTGACCCTATAGAGGTAGAGATCAGTGATTAATATGCCTATTGCTTCCATGAAGATGAAGATCCAGACAGTAAACCATGGTATCACGACATCAGGAAATTCCTTGCAACCAGAGAATACCCGGAGAATTCTACTAATGGTCAAAAGCGAGCCCTCAGGAGGTTGGCAAACCAATGTTTCTTGAACGGGGAAGTCTTGTACAGGAGGACCCCAGATTTAGGTTTGTTGAGATGTATAGATGCTGCCGAGGCAACCAGGTTATTGGAAGAAAAATATGCAGGAATATGCGGACCCCACATAAATGGGTTCACATTAGCCAAGAAGATCTTGAGAGATGGATACTTTTGGATGACTATGGAAAGTGACAGTATCCGCTACATACAAAAGTGTCACCAATACCAGATTCACGGTGATTTCATCCGGGTTCCACCGAGTGAGTTAAATGTGATGGGTTCAACCTGGCCGTTCGCCGCTTGGGGCATGGACGTGATTGGACTTATAGAGCCCGCCGTCTTAAATAGGCATTTATTCATCTTAGTAGCTATCGACTATTTCACTAAATGGGCTGAAGCATTTACTTACAAGGTCTTCACAAAGAAGGTAATGGTAGATTTCGTCCAGAACAACATCGTTTGCAGATTTGGAATACCGGAGTCTATCATCACTGACAATGCTGCTAACCTCAACAACGACCTCATGAGAGAAATCTACGAGAAGTTCAGAATCGTCCACCGCAATTCCACAGCCTACAGACCACAAATGAATGGGGTAGTCGAGGTAGCTAACAAGAATATCAAGAAGATTCTATGAAAGATTGTGGACAATCACAGGAAATGGCACCAGAGACTATCTTTTGCCTTACTAGGTTATCGGACCACCATAAGAACATCCAATGGGGCAACGTCATACATGTTAGTATATATCACTAAAGCTGTGATACCTGTAGAGGTTGAAATTAAATCTTTAAGGGTCATTCAAGTGGCCAAATGGGACGACGCAAAGTGGGTACGGGTCAGACAGGAGCAACTCATGCTCATTGATGAGAAAAGAATAGATGCAATATGCCATGGACAGCTATATCAGAATAGGATGGACAGTGTATTTAACAAGTGAGTGAAGCCTCGCTAGTTTGCACTGGGGCAGTTGATCTTAAAGAAAATCTTTCCCCACCAAGAGGAAGCCAAAGGAAAGTTCGCACCAAACTGGCAAGGTACTTATGTGGTTCGCCTAGTATTGTTGGGTGGAGCTCTAATCTTGGCAGAAATGGATGGAAGAATCAACACGAAACCCATCAATTCAGACACAATCAAGAGATACTATGTTTGAAGACAAATAGAGTTAGGCTTTTGCTGTAACAGAACTACGTTCAACCTGACTTCCCACGGAGGGATACATAGGCAACCCACGTAGGGTTCAGTTTCTCTCCCCTCTTTCTTTTGTAAAAGAAAAACCAAATATCACTTTTGTATGTTGCTCTGGAACTACACCGACTTGATTTCCTTAGAAAGGAATACGTAGGCAATCCTCATCGGATTCAGTCGTCTTTTGTAATTGAACTACGTCCTGGCCTGATTCCATTTGGATACATAGACAGTCTGAGTCAGACTCAGCCATTTCATTCTTAATCTTATCATTTTGCATCTATTGTAATTAAACTACGTCTTGACCAGATTCTATTTGGATATGTAGGCTGCATGAGTCAGGCTCGGTCATCTATATCATATTTCATTATCATCCACGAACTATGTTCGAACCTAATTCCATTTTGGATATGTAGGCAACCTGGAAGGGTTCGGTCATAACTTTAGGAAAACCTTTGTAATGCATTAGTTTTAGGATGCAGTCACAATGACAAGCAGCCACAACATCAAGCATCGCGAAGGATCAACGTCAACAGGATGAAGTTTTCAAGAAGAGACACTCACGTGTGGAGAACGTTTTGTAACATGTCATAATCCGGAACGACGACATTTGCCTTAAAACTAAAATATTTTCAAAATTGTTTCTAAAATTACAGTAATTTGTTTCGCCTACCGAACTTTGAGGCACAACCATATCAGAGGCCGGGGCAAACTAACATTGTGGTCAACACAAACCAACTTCCCCGGTCCCACTAAGAACTATTCCTTGAGTGCAGGGTCAACAGGAAGCAAGGAAGCGTTGAGACCACACTGGGGCAAATGACGGATCCGCCACCTTCCTAAGATTATCTCTCCTTCTCCTTTGCTTCAATTTTTTTGGTACAGCTAAGGCTAATCTTTGAATCCTTTGCAGGTACCTCGGAGTCAGACCATTGATACGAGAAAACCCTGTACATAGCAAACCGCCTGCTCAAACAATCAAAGCATCTTCTACAAAACGAAATGTTGGCAGCACCAGCTGAAACCCTATATATAACAGATCGCCTGCTCAACTAATCGGAGCACCTTGTACAAACGAGCCGTCGGCTTTACCAATTGAAGGCTTGTATATAGCAAACCATCAGCTGAATCGATCGGAGCGCCTTGTACAAATCGAATGTCGGCTTCGCCAATCAGAGCTTTGTATATATTTCATCTCACCAACAGAACAATTTGCATCGCTGCTCGGTCATAACGGATTCTAGAATAGACAGTTGCAAACCTTGTCACTGATGTTCTACCAATCGATGGCCGCAACTTAGCTTTGTAGTCAAGAATATCTCTTGCACATGATTTTCTTTTCCTTTACTATTACTTTAAATGTTTTGACGTTTTTCTCATGCAGCTTCAAGCATGATTGTAGTTTTAGTCAATCACTCCCAAGCGGAGATTATTTTACATTTAAGTGCAAATCTCTCCGAACAAGAAGAGACACACTTTACAAATCAAGCTCTCCCAACAAGCGAAGACATTTCTCAGTGCAAAGCTCTCCCAACAAGCGGAGACTCACTCTATAAATCAACCTCTCCCAACAAGCGGAGACAATTTTTAAATGCTTCGATAGCTGCAGAATGGTACATAGCCCGACTAACAAATCGAGTCGAGATCAAGTATCCCATCATCCCAATCCCAAATAATGGCTCGCCGGCAGCCAGACATCATCATTCGTGCATCATTTACATCATATCTTAACATATTCTGCATTGCAATAAATGGGTATGCGTGTATTTCATTTTGTAGGAACAAATATCACGTAGAATGCTTTCTATGTAACAGACCAAACTACAATGTTATGAGGACAACAAAATCATAAACAAGCCAAGGATCCAAGTTAAAGCACAAAACGACCAGTGGAACTCAAAATTTTCAAATCTGTCAAATCAAGCTGCAAAATTCAAGCTATTATGAGTGCCCAATCCTCCGTCTCGCTGTATCGTTATAATACGATACTGGGGCAGTTCCTGCAAGTATCGCTTCCTTAACATCCTCACTCCAGAACTACATGTGACCTGATCCTCATTAAGCCCGAGGTATGTACGCAATTCAAAGTCAGAATTCGGCCCCAATCCCTCCAAAATTTTCCTGAAATCCTCCTTAATTCTCCTTAAATCTTGCAATTCATAATCACCGCGTCACTCCTGCAATGCATGCCTAAAGTCGGGACAAAATTGGCTGTGGTTCAATTTCTTTGCCCGAAAACTCTTTTATCGTTTCCGGTCAAAGAGGGGCAACTGTCGACAACCAATTTTGACCCTCCCTTTTAAAATTATATTATTTATACTTAATAATTTACAGTAGATATTTTGAAAGTATTTTCTATCAATAAATACCTATTTCTACAAATTAATTAAATATTAGTTTTGAAATTAATCATTTGGTATTAGTATTATGTAATTACAAATATACTTACTATTTTAAGATTATTAAAATAACTTTTATATACATCACATAGTCCTTATAATTAATTTAATAAATTATTCCTTAATTTCTAGTTAATTAGACTAGTATGTTAATAATTTGAAATTAATGCTATAATTCGAAAAATAAAGTATTTATAAACAATTAATTAAAATTGTTAGTAATGTATATAATAATTATAATTTTACTGCATTTTATTAAAAATTATTAATCTTATTTAATTTAATTATAAAAGGGATCAAAAGAGGCTAAAGGCTATAATTGCAATTCTCTATTAAAGACTTTTAAATCATTTCTAGCCTAACACCCGAGCCTAATCCAGAATTGACCCAGTCCAAACAAACCCTCTAATCCACCTTGGCAATCCGTGCCACCCTCCCCTGACCAATCAAATTGTGCCACATCATCCTCTTATCCCACTCACAAAACAAAAACAAACGATCCGGGCAGTCGATCCAAATCATCGACGGTCCAAATTTATTTCCATTTCCCCTTTAATTCTCACCCTCCCATAAGATATTATCATAATCGTTGGATCACACAGATCCAACGGTTCCCATATTTTCTTATAAAACATTTTTTAAAAAAGCCTTAAGCCCTGATTTAACAGGGCCGTTGATGGAATGATCCAACGGCCCAGATCCCATCTCCCCGTGTAAACCCACGAGACCAACCCAGCTAACCCAACCCTAATCATTTGTCTCTTGACTCAGCCGCCCTAATTTCCCCTTTCCCTCTCTATTCTCTTAAGTCGTCAGCCCATCAATCTCCAAAACCTTGCACAAATTTGTGCAAGGTCACTCGAAATCATTCAAAATCATCCCTTCTATCCCTGCTACACCATGAATCCCGCCTGAACATTTCCAATTCCATCGTTACAATACAAAATCCCAAATCTGAAACCCTAGCTAAAGAGTGAAACTTCAAATAGTTCAAACTGGCTTATGCTCCATCAAATCGGAGCATACATGAAGTCCCTTCAGAGCTTCATCATAAGGATTTTGTACCCAGAGGTCAAACGCAGTGACCTCTAGGATTTTGATCTTTGTCCGATGGGTTTGCCTTTAATGGTAAACCTTTCTCCACTCAGGTAAAAACTACCACTGATTCCCTTCTGTCTCTCAGATGTTTCACTCGATTTTGGTTGCATCACTTGGTAATCGTCACTCCCCATACTGAGTTTGAATCTATGAAACCCTAAGGCATTGAATGCACTATAAATAGAGCCTTCAATGCTCTCACCTAACAGACCTAACACGAACACAAAAGCAACACTAAGATTTCATAAAAGTTTAGGCTCCTTAATGATTTCTAGTTTTCTTTTCGTTTATGAGTTCTTTCATTACTCAAGCCTGAATCTTTAGGTCCTACACAATTAAATTGAACTCCTGTTTGGTCTGATGCCCTAGAAAAGGTCAGTAAAATCTCAATCTTCTCTCTTTGTTTGTTTGTTTGGTTAAGTATGATTCATTCTGTTATTGAATGATTGTTATCGATGCATCAATGTCTTGGCTATTTATATGTTTTGTTAACACCATATAGTTATTGAATGTATTGGAGTGATAGTACTGTGATATTCCTAATGAGCATTTGGTGACCTGTCTCTATCGTTAAACCTTAAGAGTAGACTGATAATTCTTATGCTATCCTGATATCTATTGTCTTTAGGATTCCTTGATGTTCTGTTAAGCATTGTCATTCTGCCTTAAGTATCATTTGTGTTTGTGGTAGTTTATTTGATACCTAGACTTAAATAGATGTGAGTTTGTGAGTGTAACGACCCGATCGGTCATTTCAAGAGTTGTAGCCTCGTTTTCTCATTTTCTTCTTCTTTTGTGTTCCACAGCTGCTATATGACTTATCGGGTTAGTTGGTTTGAGTCCGGAGTGAATTCAGAGTGAATTGAGATACTTAGTCTCTTAATTATAATCTTAAGCTAGAAAATTTGACCGGATGTCGAATTATTTAACTCCGTTAAATGATTCTGGACTT